TATGACGTATAGGTCACTAGAGGTGACTCTGACTATTATATGCTAGCCATAACTGATGAGATATATGATTGATGAGATATATGATGAGATATGAATATGTCGTACAGGTCACTAGAGGTGACTCTGACTATTATATGCTAGCCATGATTGATGTGATATGTGATGAGATATGAATATGTCGTATTGGTCACTAGAGGTGACTACAACTATTATATGCTAGCCACGATTGATGAAATATGTGATGAGATATGAATATATCGTATAGGTCGCTAGAGGTGACTCTGACTTACACGCTAGTATATATAATGAATATATGTGATGAGCTAATATATGTGGTGAATACGTGATAGGCTAGTAGACGTGATGAATATGCGATAAGTTAACATATGATTATAAATATGTGAAGCATGACTTGAATCAATATACGTATATAAAGATGTATATTTTATATTCTAAGTCTGGAAATTATACAGGTGTTGTAGCAAGTGATTACATGTCTTATATGTTCTCTATTAGTATTTTACTTACAAGGCCACTTACTCTTATTTTGTTTTCACCCTCCAGGTATTATTAGCTGAGTTTTATTATCACCAAAGACTCACGGTGATTCTTAGTATCAGAGACTATTTCAAGGGTACGATTCTTACATCACTTTTCTGTACTTACTTATGCTCTAACATCACGTGTGAATTGGGTTCATTCCCGCTCACCAGTGTACTCTAGTAATTAGGCACTCTTAGGTTTAAATTTATTCACAATTTTCCACAACATCACACTTTATGGCTTCGTATCAGCTCTCTTCTTCTTTTTTTTCTTCTTCTTTTTTTTTTTCTTTCTTTAGATCATTACATATATAGCTCTTTTTCCATTTTTGCATTCAACCAACAAAAGAACAACCACTGCATTAAAAGAAAGAAAATACTAAAAACGATGAGACAATAAAATATAAAATTCATAATAGAAGAGAAAATACTGATACAATGAATTAAAAACGATGAGCCACAAAAAAAATTCGACCATAACAACAAACAAGACTAGAAAACTGAGATACAATTTATTTCTGATTTTTTTTATATGAATTATTTCTTATTCTACATTAAACAAGTAGAGAATTTCTAGGTTTTGGTAACGTCGTAAGGAAGCCATATACCATTTCTTGGACTTCCTCTAACGTTACCATTACGTGACATTCATATCCCTTGCATATCGTTTTTGAAGCCTCCTATTTTGCTCATCATCTTTTCCTCGTCTTCACCCTCATGAAGAGAGAAAGAACTTGATGGAAGATCTAGGTCCGGTTCGAAATGCACGATCAGTTTTCGAGATTGTTCTGTTACTTGACCGGAATGCCACATTGTTGGCTTGTTGTCGTGTGGACCACGGAAAATGACGACGGCATTCGCACAGCACGTACGGTGGTCAGCTCTCTCACTTTCTTCAGTAGCCTTCTTTTCCTCTTTTGGAACATAATAGTCCTATCACTTTCTACCCATGCTACTTTCACCTTCTTCCTAAACATTGTTGTTTTCTGGTTTAAGAATTAAGCTGCCTATACACACTTGTTTATCTAGGCTTAAGCTCTATATACTTTGTGTACAACTCAAGAGAATATATATAGCACAATAGAGAAAAGACTCCTTCACAAAATTGGAAATAAAATCAACGCAATCAAGGACGATACCAATTTTTGTTCTTAAGGGATTCGAACCTAGACCTCTTCCAATACTGTAAAGACAAATATTACTAACAACTTTGGTCATTAAATTGCTTGATTTATTTTGGTCTTTTTTTTTTTCCTTTTTGTTGTCTCTGTTTTTTGGGGGTAAGGTTTATGTCCCCCCTGACTAAGTGTAGCTTGTTTTTTCGTTATTAATAAAATTACCCTCGTACCGTCGAGGTTTTCCAAAAAAAAAAAAAAAAAATCACCGCGGATGGGGGCGTCGAACTTGGACCACTTCCCTTAATGGAAATAAAATGCCAACAACTTTCCACCTTTGGTCATTAAATTTTTTGTTATATTCCCTTATAACAAAAAAGGAGTTGAACCCAGACCTATTTTAACATTGTAAAGACAAATACTACTAGCTTCGCAGAGCTTACAGAATTTTACTACTTAGAAAGCGTAATGTTTATATCTCATTTCATAAAATTTTACATATTGACTGTATATTTCACAAAAAGAATAAAAGAGTAAAGTAGTTAACATTGAAATTGACAGTTAAAAAGTGCTTAAAATGCGGGCCAGTTCTATGCCACATCAATACGTAATGTTTAATAAGACGATGAAATTGAAAGAGAGGTTAAATTGGTATAATTCTGAAACAATGTGGTGTAAAATGCAAAAATTAAAACCTCATGGCTCATTTGCAAAATAGCCCTAAACCTTGTGATGTAAAATATAGTTAACCCTAAAAACTAACTGTGCATAAGAAAATAATTCAAAAAACCATGAAGTTGACACATGGATTTTTATCTGCAAATAACGAGAATAACCTTATCCAATTGGCATGGCCCACATTCGATTCACATGTAGTTCAACCATCAAGAAGACCTACCATGCTGACTACAAATTTTCCAAACTCCTTTGCTCTTGATAAGGATATAAGGCAAGAAAATTTAGAGTAGAATTAATAACTAGTCTCTACGTTTAAACTTTCCTCATCGAAGGCTTATTCCTTTAAACAAGAAAGTCCAATAACATCCTATCAAGAACTATCCAAGATAAGCCTTAGGACATTATTAATTAAGTTTAAGAATATATACAAAGATTATCCTCAGTATTGTCATGGCACAAGTTCAACTCTATCATCTGATAACACACCTTGGCCAACTGGAAGTTGACACTTGACATAGAATACCCTACACATGTGGCCAGCCATGCTCCTATAAATACCCTATTAGTATCAAGTAACTTAGTTACTTTGCTCCTATAAATACCCGAATTTAGGGGTGGGTTCTAAAAATTGAAAACCAAAAAAAAAAAAAGGGGACAAAAAACTGAACCGAAACCGAAAAAACCGAAATCGAAAAAAAAAATCGAATCAAATTGAAAAAATCGAACTAAACCGAAATCTTTTTGTTCGGTTTCGGTTTCGGTTTTGAGGGTTCAGAAACCGAACTAAATTGAACCGAACCGAATTATTATATATATATATATTTTTTTTTTTGTATTTTAATTTTTAAGCCAAATTCCCTCCATAATTCCAAGCCCAATTCCAACCCAATTTATAAGCCCAGTTATAAACTCTAGCACTGTCCTTTTTTTTTTCTTCCTCAGAGAGCCACATACCTTCCCTTCTCCTCTCCATCTTTCTTTCTTTCTTTTTTGTCCCTCTTTCTTCTTCTTTTCTCTCTCCCCAGACCTCAGCCGCATCATCTTCTCTCATTCTTCTTTTATTTTTTTTTCTTCCTCTTCTTTCTTTTTTTCCCTAGACAGGGTACATATTCTTTCTTCTCACCCTAATTTCAAATCTCACCCATCGACTCTATCCTCCCCGGAATTCTAGAGCTCTATTTCTACGCTTCTTGCTTGATCTCTAGCAAATTAACTCCGTCTGTAGCTCCCGACGCCGCCACCATAGCCGAGTCCACCAAGCCCGCCATAGCCGATTCTACCAAGCGGTGCCTCACAAATTTATTCAAAGATTTATATGTGGAATTTGAATTTAGATTTCTCTAATTTTCATATGACTTTAGGTCTTCCTAATCGAATATTATGCATGCATGCTTAGATTTGTGGAAAATTAAATTTCTAGGACTTGTGTTTTGGTTGATTATATAGAGATACACTTCTTTATGAAAGATTTTCGTGATATGAAAATTAGTATTCTAAAACTTAGATGAAATCCAGATTTTGGACTTTTTCGATGATTGAATTTGAAAATTCGTTTGCTTAATGATAAGGTCAGTTTATTGATTTGTTCTGCAATCCATGGATCTAGAAACAAACTGATTTATTCTTCAACCTAAAAAAGTTGCAGAAGGAAAAAAAAAGAACCAAACCGAAACCGAACCGAAAAAAAACAAAAACCGAAGTTGAATTGAACCGAAAAAACCGAAAGGAAACCGAACCAAAACCGAACTGAACAGTAATTTCAGTTTGGTTTCCGGTTTTAGCCAAAAACCGAACCAAACAAAACCAAACCCACCCCTACCCGAATCTACACACTTCGCATTTTTAGTACAATTTCTAACCCTTTAGAATGAAATATAGTTCTATAAAAACACAAGAAATCAATATTAAAAACTAGAAATGAAATGATTATCAATGAATATCAATTTAGTTATTAGATTAAACTTTTTGATACTATCAAATTATTATAGGGTTAATTACATTTTGTCATTAGGTTTTTCCCCATTCACTAATTTAGTCTATGCAATCATTTTAATGTTTTTTAAAAAAAAAAAAACCATGGAATCATATTTTAACAAATTCATCTTGAATTTTCTTTGTTACCATTGGTTTTTAGCCGTACATTATGGACATATTTTTCTTTAGGACCAAAGTGATTAATGACTCTTTTGGAAGTGTATTTAAAATGATTGAAAGTGTTTATAGAGAAATTGTTTTTTGATTTCAAAAACACTTGAAGTGTTTCTTGCACCACTAGACCGTAATACTAAGTCGTTGTAAATGATGTATAATAGCAAGAAGATAAGCATATAACCTGAAAATATATTTTACTTAATTACATACAGAATTATTTTTTTCCTTCTTTAGATCATTACATATATACCCCTATTTCCATTTTAGCATAAAACCAATGAAAAAGTACTGATACATGAATTAAAAACGATAACCAGAAAAAAGAAAGAAAAAAAAAACGATAACAACAAACAGCACTAGAAAACTGGGGAAGTACAATTTATTTCTGATTTTTTTTTAATTGAGAAAAATTATGCAAGATTAACTCTTCAACAATGGTTGTGTGCTAAGCACCTACACTCCCCCAAAGTGGTGAGGACCATCACACGATTCACACCCAGAAATCTCCCGCCAGTCACTTCTCTTCAAGTTTAGTTTTTTCTTCCTCAAGGTCAGTGATCTCTTCCATCTTCTGAACACTGGTGAGCAATTCTTCCGTCACTTGACCGGAATGCCACACTGTCGGCTTGTTGTCGTGCGGACCACGGAAAATGACGACAGCATTGACACCGCACAAGGTGGTCAGCTCTCTCACTTTCTTCAGTAACCTTCTTTTCCTCTTTTGGAACATGATAGTCCTGTCATTTTCTACCCATGCTACTTTCACTTTCTGCCTAAACATTGTTATTTTCTGGGTTAAGAATTGAGCTGCCTATATACACTTGTTTTCTAGGCTTAAGCTCTATATACTCTAAATTGTACCACTCAAGATAATATATATAGCACAACAGAGATAAGACTCTTTCACAAAATTGGAAATTAAATCAACGCATTCAAGGGACATACCAATTTTTGTTTTAAAATTGTTTTTTCTTCGATGAACGGGGGAAGGGGATTCGAACTTAGACCTGTTTCAAATACTACAAACAACTTTGGTCATTAAAATTGCTTGATTTATTTTGGTTTCAATCAACCGTGGGATGGGAGCCTCGGACCTCTTCCCTTAATGGAAAAAAAAAATACTAACTTTCCATCTTGGACTGTTGGACAGTAACTTTGTTGTTATATTCCCATTTAACAAAAAAAAAAAAAAAAAAAAAAAACAGTTGAACTTAGACCTATTTTAACATTGTACAGATAAATACTACTAGCTTCTCGTAGCTTGCAGAATTTTACTGCTTAGAAAGCATAATGTTTATATCTCATTTCATGGAATTTACACGTTGATATCAATTTTATAAAATGTGGGACAAGTTTATGCCATATCAACACGCAACGTCTAACAAGATTACGAAATTGACAGAGAGAATAAAATGGTATAATTCTAAAACCATATGGTGTAAAATGCAAAAGTTGAAACCTCGTGGCGGATTTTTCAAATGACTCCCAAACCTTGTGGTGTAAAATGCATTTAACTCTAAAAACTAATGAACTACATGTGGAGCAAAAAATAATTCAGAAAATCATGGAGTTAACATGTTAACATGTGGACTTTTATCTGTAATTGACGAGAATGCCCTTATTCATTTGGTGAGGCCCGCATTCGCTCCACACCAGTTCAACCATCAAGAAGACCTAAGTTGCTGACTACAACTTTTTCAAGCTCCACTGCTCATGACAAGGAGATAAGACAAGGGAATTAAAGGTATACTTAATAACTAATTCCTACCTTTAATCTTTCCTCAGTGTAGATTTATTGTTTTAAGTAAGGAAGCCTAATTACATCATACCAAAGATTCTCCAAGATAATCTTAGGATATTATCAATTAAATTTAATAATATCCACAAGGATTGTCCTCAATACTATCATGGCACAAGTACAACTTAATCGATCTGATAACACACCTTGATCAACAAGATGTTGTCACATGTTATGAAAACCCTACACATGTGACCATCCATGCTCCTATAAATACTCAATCCACACACTTCTCAAGTAAGTTGAAGTACAGTTCAACCCTAATCTCACTCTTTTTTAAGATAACTTGACTTAGCGAATGTTCATTGGTCAAATCCCTTCTCTCAGGTTGCATGGTTCTAGGCATCAACCAAATGTGTTTAATTTGTTTTGTAATAACAATTTCGTCAAAGACATAATTTTTGCTACCACAAGTCTGGTGCTTTCATTAAGAGGTTAATTTAATTCTCAAAGAAGCTCTCACAATTCTTTTCCAAATTTCTACCTTTCTAGAATTTTTCTAGCGCACCCAATCTTCAAATCCTTTAAAATTTTGATTCGTGCGCTCTAGACAAAGGAAGAATGGCAGCATAAATGAAAAATTGCCACCTTCTTAAGTACTAATGATTGACAGAAGATATCTAATTGTGAGACTTCATATATATTGATGAAGATAAAAGTAAAAATAGAATGGATATTTTTGGATTTTGATTCATGCCTTTTGGATTGAATGATTTGATTCAAACAAAGGAGGTGTCTCAACATCTTTTTTGGCGTCCTTGAAAATTTGACACTTCACTTCATAAGAGGTACATGTAGAATTGTCCATGAATTGTTAATTAACTTGGCATTCATATACACAGGCCATGAGGATCATGCATTATAATCTAGGATTATAAAGTTCTAATTTATGCATTAATCTAGAACAAGTCTGATTCTAGGATACATGACACACCCTGACCCGGAATATTCACTAGGACTCCGAATCGAGCTGTATTGGTCAACACCTAGAAGGTGATGAGCCATAAAGTATAGTGATGTGGAAAATGTGAATAATTTTAAACCTAAAAGTACCTAAAGACAAGAGTGCGTTGTGAGCGGGGGATGAACCCATTTCACATGCAACGTCAGAGCATAAGTAAAGTACAATAGTATGGGTAAGGATCATACCCTCGGAGGTAGCCACTTATACTGAGATTTGCCAAGAATCCTCATCGATACGACTTTCAGCAGATAAAACCTGGAGGGGCGCAAAAACAAGGGTGAATGGACCTAAAAATAAAGTTTTAAACCCATATAATTTCCCAGAAAATAATAATACATATGTATATAGAAATCATGCTCGAGAGTAGTGAAAACCAAGTATATGCCATGTCAAATATCTCAACAATGAAATAAGTAAGCCATGTGAAATAAATCAATGTAAAATGATATGCCAGCCAAAGTCACTTAATGTGACCTGTACAGCTGAACCTATAGCTCATAAACTAATTTCTGCACACGAGTCGAAACCACCTAATATGGTCTGTACAACAGGCTGGGTGTAAATAAGTAAGCTCAAGTGCTATGATCACGTGAAGACTGTGTGATAAATCGCAAGTCACCTATGAGTCGGAACCACCTAATGTGGTCTGTACGACAGGCTGACACCTGACTTGGATCCAAGCTGAGCATGCGGTGCAGGAGGTGAACAATCACCTGAAGGCTAAGCCCTAGCCGTGGGCGAAGCATTAACACTGGGGTGCAGGATAATAAGCTTTAAATGCATCTACGCATAATCATACACAATGCAACCACTATTATCATAATGTACTCACCTGAAGCTTACCTGGGCCTCTGCATCATCATTCAATAGTATGCAAAACTATTCTAATGCAAATATTAAAATATAATGCTTCCTTGACATGGCATTGAAGTCATAAATTCATTTAAAAACAGTTTTTAGAAATCCTAAAGCATAAATATATATATATATATAGAAAACAAAAACCCACTCACCTAAGGTCCACGCTACAACCCCCTAGCATGAATATCGAGGCGTCACTAACGATCGTCACCTAGAACAAATATTCAGTCACATCTCAAAATTCTTATCTATATAACACGTAACTTAACTTACATATCCTATTCGGGAAGATTCGTAAGTCAGATTCCCGATCCGTAAGTTTCTAATATCCTCAAATATTATGTACTATATGTACTATAATGTACCAAAATTTGGTGACTATTCAACGGTTGGATCGTTGGCGGACCTTAATGGAACTACGTTCAAATGACGGAAATTCGTCAATCGAACTTCACCAATGGAATCAGGGTATTCAAATTTCACCTAGGAATGTCAGGGGATGTCTCGGCCCACACGCCGCCGCACGCACCGCCGTAGGTGGCGGTTAGCCACCCCGACTCGTCAGAAAAATCAACTATTACTAAAAGTTCTCAAATTTTACAAGAATGAAGATCTCAATGAGTGGAGCAACTTTCATACATGTGACTAAGGTCAATTTGGCCGGCAAAAGCCTCAATTTCATGAAAATATGCTGGAACGCTAGATTTGGGTGTGTTTGACCTCCAAACTCACTCCAATGCCTCAAACATTGCTTGAGCCTTGCTCTTGGGGTTGAGAGGAGTCTTTTGGTGGTGGTCATCAACGGTGAAACTAGCTGGAGCCACCGGAAAAAGGTTAAAATTGTCAGATGCCCCCGGGGGTTTGTGGCTTTAATTTGTGAATTTGGGTTAGAAATCTAGAATTTTAACACCATAGAGATGTTGGGCTCGATGAGAGCTTTTCTTAGACACCGAAATCACCTCAAACGAACATCGGACGGAGGGGATAGGACCGGGTCAAGGAACCGAGTCAGCGGGTTAGAAACGGATCAAGGTTACCCGGTGCACCTCTTCCTTCTCATTTCCCCTCCTTTCTTCTCTCCCCCATTGGTCACTCTCTCTTTCTCTTCTTTCTAATTGGGCGTCTCGCCCCTCCTTTCTCTCTTTTATCCTTCATCTCCACCGCCTATCTTTTCTTTCTTTAAATCTAGGCCACACACATGGCTATCCAGATTAATCTCCAAAAATCTGGAGCTTTCTAGAGAATACCCAATTTACCAAAATGCCCCTACTTTAAATGTTAATATCTCATTCGTTATAACTCCAAATCACGATCCGTTTGCGCATACGCGTCCGTAGCGACGAGTACTACGGGGATACGCCAAGAAAATGAATCTTACGTAACTCAAAAAGGCAATCAACAAAAGTCACTGCATTTTCCTTGAAGGGCATTTTCGTAAATTCACTTTATAAAATTGTAATAATTGGGGACGGTTTGTTACAATACATGCATGTTTCTGTGAAATACAAGTCTATCAGTTATACATATATGTAGTTCAATTTAAATAACTAATTATCGGTGTTTCCAATTCCTTCTTCTAGAAAAAGAGACATCACCATTAAAATGTGGATAAGAACCTGTGGTTTTCTAAATTAGTTTACTATCTGTATGATCTATAAATGAGAAGTTCCTATAAATATTTATAAGCAAGACATATTTGCATTGATGAAGGAACTTAGAAACCGCTCAGGGTTCTTGATGGGTTTGCAAGTTGCTTTCCAAGATCAAAACCTGGGAATTGTTTAGGTGTTTTGGACAAGAATTCCATGCCAAACAATTACCAATAGTAGTTGGTAAAATGAAGAGACATGAACAAATTAAAGCAACTGCAATATTGTTTGAAGCGGTGTTTTGATTTAGTGTTCCATTTGCACAAAATGGATATAATTAATGCTGTCATCTAAATGATGTTATTACAAGAAGATGATAATATTGTCTATCAGAGATTTGTGTTACACTAAAAAGAAGCAGTTTCAGACTGTTAATTGGTACTAGCAAAGAAGGCGGTTAATTACTATTATGACAAGCATCATAAAGAATCTTGCGCGCAATGACCGTGTTAGCCAGGGATGAAGCCAACTGCCAATTCGTTTGAAAAGAATAAGACACCGAGAGTGTG